GAGCAATCCCAAATGCGCATGCACCAAGGACAGAGGTGCAAAACGTCTGAAGCAAAAACTGATACAACTAGAAGTGGAAGGAGAAATAGACAAACCCACAGTTACCGCAGGAGGCCTCAACACTCCTCTCCCAATAGTTGATGGAACAACTCCCAGAAAATCAGTAAGGGTGTGGGAGAGCCTAACAAAGCCATCAGCTGACAGAATCTAACGGGCATTTATAGACCATTCCATTCCACCCAACAATGGCAATACCTGTCACGAATTATAGACACACGCCCTTAACATATTAGCAAATAAAATTCAGCAATATATTAAAAAAATTATACCACGTGACCAAGTAGGATTTATTCCAGAGATGCAATTCGGGTTCAGTATTCAAAGTCAATAATGTAGTCTACATGTTAACAAGAAGAAAAATCACAAGATCGTGTCATTTGATGCAGAAAGAGCATTTGAATAAATTCAACACTCATTCATGGTAAAAACTTTCAGAAAAATAGTAATAGAGGGGAACTTCCTCAACTTCATATAGAGCCTCTACAAAAATCTTATAGCTAGCATTGTATTTAATGGTGAAAGACTGAATGATTTTCCCTAAGCTCAGGAAAAAGGCAAGGATGTCCATTCTCACCACTTTTTGCAACATGTTACTGGAAGTTCTAGCCAGTGCAATAAAGGAAGAAGAAAAGAAAAGGGATACAGAATGAAATTGTCCTTAATTGCAAATGACATGACTGTCTACAGAGAAAATCCCAAGGAATCTGCAAAAAAAACTCTCCTAGAACTAAGTGAATTCAGCAAGTTTGTGGGATATGAGATAAACATACAAAAATCAGTTGTGTACGTATATGCTAGCAAGGAACATGTGGACACCAAAATAGAAAATACAGTGTCGTTTACAATCACTCAAAACATTGACTCTAACAAAACTTTGTCATCTCTATGCTAAACATTACAAAATTCTGATGAAAGAAATCAAAGGAGACCTAAATAAATGGAGAGACATACCATGTTCATAGATTAAAAGATTCAACATAGTAAAAATGTTAATTCTCCCCAAATTGATACAAAGGTTTAAGACAATTCTTACCAAAATCTCAGCCACACTTTTATATAGATGGACAAGATTATTCTAAAATTTACATGGAAAGGAAAGGAGCTAGAACAGCTAAACAATTTTGAAAGAGAAGAATAAATGCGGAGGAACCTCTTAATACTTGATATTAAGGGTTGCCACGTAGCTAAAGTAGTTGAATCTGTGTGGTATTATGGAGAAACAGACACGTAGATCAACGGAATAGGACAGAGAATCCAGAAATAGACCCACGTAAATATGCCCAACTAATTTCTGACAAAGGTGCAAAAGCAATGGAGGAAAGAGAGCCTTTTCAACAACGGTGCTGAAGCAAATGGACACCCACAGGCAAGAAAAGAAAATGAACCTCAAGCTGAGGATCGCACCTTATGCAAAGAAATTAACTCAAAGTGGATCGTGGCCTTAAACACAAAATGTACAACTATAAATACACAATTATGTTTTTAGAAAAAAATCCTCAGGATCTAAGTACAGAGCTAAGTACACAGTTCTTAGACTTGACACCAAAAGCATGATCCATAACAGAAAAGTTGATAAATTTGACTTCATAAAATGTAAAAACTTTTCACAAAGTAAATTATTGGACCACATCAAAACTAAAAACTTCTTTTCCTCAAAGGACAAAATCAGCAAAGTGAAAAGACATCCTACAGAAGGGGAGAAAATACTTGTGAGCCACATATTTGATAATGGGCCAATGTTCAGCATACATAAAGAACTCCTACAACTCAACAAGAAAATCAATAACCCAACTACAAAATGGACAAAGGGTTTGAATAGATATTTCTTTGAAGAAGATATACAAATGACCAACAAGTAAATGAAAAGATGCTCAACATCACTAATCATTAGGGAAATGCAATTCAAAACCACAAAAAGATAGCACCTCACACCCATCGGGATGGCCACTATTAAAAAAATAGAAAATAATGTGTTGATGTGGACATGGGGAAATGGGAACCCTTGTACTCTGTCAGTGGGAATGTAAAATGGTGCAGCGACTATGGAAAACAGTATGGCAGGTCCTCAAAAAATTAAAAATAGAATTACCATATTATCCAAAAACCTCGCTTCCAAAAATATACTCCAAAGAATTCAAAATAGGACCTCAAAGAGATATTTGCATGCCCACATTCATTGCAGTATTATTCACGATAGCTGCTTGAGGTGGAAGCAACCCAAATATCCTTTGACAGATGAATGAATAAACAAAATATGGTACACACATGCAGTGGAATATTATTTAGCCTTAAAAAGGAAGGAAATCCTCACACGTGCTACAGCAGGGATGAACCTGGAGGACATCACACCAAGTGAAACAAGCCAGACACAGAAGGATAAATACAGTACGACTCCATTTACATGAGGTGTTAGAGCAGTCAAGCTTATAGAAACAGAAAGTAGAAGCGTGGTTCCCAGGGGCTGGGGAGACAGGGGGTGGGGAGCTGTTCAACGGGGGCAGAGTTTCAGTTTTACAAGACGAAACAGCTCTGGAGATGGTTGGTGGTGACCGTTCCACAACAATGTGCACGTAATTGACAATACTGAACTGGACACTTAGAAGTGGCGCACTTTATGTTAAGTGTGTTTCACCACAATTAAAAATGCTTTTAAAAATTAAAACTTTTGCACTTCAAAAAAGGACAACAAGACAAGGTACAAAGTGGGAGAAAATATTTGTAAACCACGTATCTGAGGAAAGACCAGGATCCAGAATGTACACAGAACTCTCAAAACTCAACAGCAGGTAAACAAGCAGTCTAATCAGAAAACGGGCAAAAGGCACGAACAGATACTCCACCGCAGGGGGCGTGCGGAGGGCAGATGGAACAGCGTTTTGCAGCAATGGCACTCCTGGGCACGGATCCCGGAGTAACGAAGATGACAGTCACACGTGAATCTGCACACGAACGTTTACAGCAGCTTTATCTGAAAGAGCCAAACACTGGGACGACCCAAGTGTCCTTCGTGGGTGAACAGCCAAGCAAATTGTGGTCACTCACACCACAGAACACTGCTCACCAACAGAAGGAGTGAACTAGTGACACACACAACTAGGTCCGTGAGCTGCCAGAGAATTATGCCAAGTGAAAAAAAGCCAGTCTCAAAAGGTGGCATAGGATTACTCCACTTCTGTAACATTCTTAAAATGACAAAAGTGTGTAAACGTGAGGCAGATATTGGTTGCCAGGGTTAAGGAGTGTTAACGGTGGGAAGGGAGGGAATGTGGTTGTGAAAGAGGGTGACATGAGGGTCCTTGTGGCAGAAATCGTCTGTAGCTCGACTGTCTCAGCATCACGTTCCTGGTTGCCATGTTACTATCGTTTGGGGAGGTACTACCGTTGGGGAAACTGGGCAAATGGTACCTGGACTCTCTCCATATTATTTCTTTCAAGTGTGTGTGATTCAACAATGACCTCAAAATAAAAAGCTTAATTGAAAAAGTCACTATTTAATAAAATATGATACAACTGTTTAAAACATTTGGTACATTAGATTTGATCTTTAGAAAAAACTACCAGTAAAATTCTCCTAACTCACATGGAGGGGCTTCAGAGGGGAGCAGTTCAGCGGGCAGGGCTCAGTCTGGGAAAGGGCCGCCTCGAGTGAGAAGGGAGCAGAGGCTCATGGCAGGAGGGAGCGATGCTGCAGCACAGGCCAGGCCACACGATGCCAGGAGGGGCTGGGGGCGGGGGGGGGGGCACTGCCATTCCCCAAATAGCACTGGCACAGAGGGAGAGGCAGAACACACCAGGACAGCCGGGCTTGCGGAGAAGCAAGGCCAGCCCCAGCACGGACCGGGAAAGCTGAGCGCCTGAGCTCACAGAGGGGGCTGCCTCTGTGCGGTCAAGCGCCACTCAACGTGCCAGGGTCGGATCTGGGCCGAACCTGCAAAATTTGGTGTGAACAGGCCTGGGCAAGGACACGTCATCTTAGCGCACGGCACAGGAGGTTACTAAAGAAATGCAGCCTCCGGAGATAAGGAGCTGGAAGTCTCCCTGGGTCCCGGCTCACAGAGCCAGGTTTGGTGTGGACACGGCTGGCAGGGGCTGGGTGAGCACATGATGGAGAGGAAGGCGTGGGCTCAGACGCAGGTGCCCACAGGGCACCACAAGGGCTGAGACTCCAGGTGCTACCGTGTGTCTGAACAGGAGTGGCAGTGCCCTGTGAGGGACTCCTAGCAGAGGGCTCAGGGTGGTCCCTGCACACAGCGCGCTCGTCCCAGAGGCAGCACTGGTGTTGGTGGGACACCACTCCTAATGTCAAATAGCATCAGAGCCAGTCGACATGAAACAAGGCAGTTTATGCTCACGCAACTTCAGAACCACACACTCTTCCTAAGTGGGGTTTCCCTTGTGAGGACAGCAGCCGGATCATCTGTGGGAGGTGGTTGGGGAGTCGGGACTCAGGTTCAGGCTCCTTGAGCAGCTTCTTGGTGCCTCCTGAAATTCACAGTCCACCTCTCCCCACTCTCTGGGTGGCCTGGCTGGTCAGTCACAGGCTCCTTCTGCCTCAGACCCAGAAAGGGCAGCTGTGGCTGGTCCTGGAGGCCATGCCAGGCCAGGGAGGTGACTGTGGGAGCCAGGCTATGGGTTTTCCATCCTCACACCTTGGAGCACCAGGAGCCCCAGTGGAAGTGCCTCAGAGGCCGGCGTGTGGGTGAGGCTGGGGACTGACTGTCCCACTTTGCCTGGGGCTAAAGGGGCCTCCGTTTGAAAGCCAGGATGAACTGGTCACCGAAAGTGAGGCTGCCTTGACAGGCTCCGGCTGCTCCACCCCACGAAGCCGGACCCTTCAGTCCACCGGCCCACAAGGAAGGGCAGTTCTGCTGCCTGGCGGCCCCTAGGAATACAGCAGGACCCTTACCTCCTCCCTCCCCCAAACAAAACAACGAAACAGATGACTCATCCAGTTCTGCTCTTTATTGGTGTGTCTGGGCACAGGGAGCGAGTCCTAGAGGGGAGGCTGAGGGGTGGCCCAGCAGGGCGGCCCGACCACACCCCAGCCGGCAGGGCCAGGCCTCAGCGCGCCTGGGCCAGGTGGTGCTTCTTGTACAGCAGCGCCCGCCTCTTCTCGCGCTCGCGCACGAAGGCGCGCAGACGCGTGGTGGGGAAGGTCACGGCCGCGGGCTGGGAGCCGGCCGGGCCCTCCTCGGTCAGCCACGGGCACCGCAGGCAGCTGGACGCACACGGCCGGCCCCTGGAGCACAGGAGGGGGCGTCAGCCACGCTCCGGAAGCTGGGCCCGGGCGGGTCAGGAGGGACGGGTGGGGCGAAGTGGGCGGGACGCGCGGGCAGGGGGCGGGGCAGAGCCGCCTTACCAGGGGTGGGCGCACAGAGTGCTCCGGAGGAAGGCCACTGCGCCCCCGGACAGGCCCGCGTAGCAGCGGCCCAGCCGGATGAGCCCCTTGCGCAGGCCCTTTTGCAGGTCGCGCATCCCCTCGCTGCTCACCGGGTACTCGGCGCTCAGCCTGTGGGTGAAGATCAGAGGACTCAAATCACCCTCAGATGAATGGGGGACACGGGCGATTCAGTGGTGATCCTCGTTGGATGAGGGACACGGGGACTCTGAGGTCACTCTCGATGGATGGGGGACACGGGGCTCTGGGATCACTCTCGATGGATCCCAGGCCTGCCCTCTCACCCAGAGGACTCACATGATGAAGGCCGTCACGCCTATGGCCCAGACGTCCGTCTGCGGGACCGCCCCCTGGCCCTCCAGGAGCTCCGGAGCTGGGGGCACAAGAGGGGCCCCGGTGAGTGGCTGAGTGTGTCTGCAGTGGAACGGGGCGGGAGGCAGGACTCGGGGAGGGGCTTGCTCTTGGCCCACCCCTCCCCCAGGTCCCGCCCAGGGCTGCGCCACGCTCACCCATGGTCTCCATGTAGTCCTTGAACCCCTCCGAGGGCAGGACCCTCTCCTCGGCGAGGCTCTGGGCGTTGCCGAAATCGACCACTTTGAGCAGGTTGTACTCGGTGACGATCATGTTCTCGGACCTGAGGTCCAGATGCAAGATGCGCTGGCCGTGCAGGTACTGGGCGGCACTCAGCATCTGCCACAGGTAGTCCTTCACCTCCGATTCCGAGTAGGAGGTCCTGGCAGCAGAGGGCGGTTCAGACCAAGCAGAGGGGTCAGGAGGCAGCACGTTGGGAGGGGACTCTGTCCACCGCAGAGGGGGCTCGGGGTCACCAGCCGTCCCAGCCGGTTAGGGAGGGGCGCCGAGCCTTGTTGAGCGCCCCTATGCGGGCGGGCCGGTGGAGCCGGGGCTGCGATGCACACTGCCCCGCCCTGCGCCCCTCGTCCCGCCGGGCCGCCCCTCACCTCTCGGCCAGGCAGGGGAGCAGCTCCGGCCCGGAGCACAGCTCCAAGATGAGGACCAGGTGCCGGGGGCTGAGGTAGGCGGCCTGAAGCTGGGCCAGATGCGGGTGGCGCAGGCTCTTGAGGGCCTCGTATTCGCGCAGCACGGCCGTTCTGTCCTCGGGGCGGTAGGGCACGATCTTGGCGGCCAGCGCGCGGCCGCTGGCCTTCTCCCGACACTGGCGCACCACGCTGAAGCGGCCCCTGGCGACGAAGCACCGGCCAGGTTCGTGTGGACCCCTCCCGCCCTGCCAGCCCATGCAGCTCCCCACTGCTCTCCCGCAGCTCCCGCCCGTCCTCCCATTCTGCGAACAGCCAGGAGGAAGCCCGGAGGGAGGGGACCGGAACTTTCTGGGAGGGGGCGCAGATGCTCTGAAGCAAGCATCAGGGGAGGTGAGCCGTGCTTGCAGATGGAGTAGCTGAGGCTGGGGTGGGAGCTGGAAGAGCTAGGGGGCGGGGAGGCCACGGCACCGCCCACCCACTGTCCCCGAGGCCCCACCTTCGGATCTGTGTCTGGAAGGCGAAGGTCTGTGTGCTGGGGAGGGGCTGGGCTGGCGTGGCAGGGCCGCTCTCCTCCTCAGAGGCTGTGGAAGGGAAGCTGGTGACGGGGGCCTGCAGCCCCAGCTACCCCACCTTGTCTCCCATCACCCCTTCCCAGGCGCCCTGACGAGGTCCCCTCTTTGACCCCACACACTGGACCTGTTCCTCAACCATTTGGGGGCGGGGACACAGCACACAGAACAAATTGTCCTGAGCGGGTACTGGCCACCTGCGCGGTGTCGGGGCAGGCAACCTCCGAGGGCCCCTGCTGCCCCGCCAGGCCCTGCAGAGTGCTCACCCAGGTGGCTGGGCCCCCCAAGGAGGACCTGGTCCGAGGGGCTGCTGTAGGGGCCCATGCCCGCCTTGCTGACACAGGCCGTCCGGAAGGCGTACAGGCCGCCCCGAGAAAGCTTGCTGGTGAGGTAGCAGCAGTCGAAGACATCTGAGGCCAGCGTGCTCCAGCTGCCACCTGGCCACAGGGAGCGGGTGTGATTCAGCCCGAGGCCTGCCCACCGGAGTTGGGTGGAGAGACCCCGCCCCCAGGGCAGCCGCCCAGGGATGCAGAGGGGCCGGGTGATTCCCTGATGGGGTCCAGGGCCCCCACCAGGCTGGCACTTCCCCACTGCTCCCCGCCACTGACCCCGGGGCCGCCAGGACGGGAGGGCAGGGGGGCGGCCCTACCTTCCAGGCTGCACTGCACAATGTAGGTCACGGGGCCGTACGACTCCACAGGCTTCCAGACCAACAGCACCCTGTCCGCGTACACCTCCCCGATGTCCGGCCGTGGGGAGGACGAGGGGAGCTCTGCAGGGCCCGTGGTCAGGGGTCGGATGCAGGCTCCCAGGGGCCACCCGAAGCAGCTCTGAGCCCTGGCCAGCCTGCCCCACCCTCCTGCACTCTGCTGCCAGGCCCTGAGCCCACCCTCCCCTGGCCCCCTTCACTCAGGGGTCCCTTTCCAGCGCTGATGGCAGGAGGGTCCCCATGCCTCACCTGGCGGGGGCGCAGGAGGTATCTGCCTCTGACCTCACCAGGCCTCCCTCCCACTGCTGCCTGCCCAGAAAGTCATGGAGTGGCCCTCGTTCACAGCCCCCTGCCCAGGTGAGAGGGGCCTGTCCTGGCTGCTCAGCTTTGCCGGGCCCCCTGGGGATCAGGAGTCCAAGAGCTAGGCCCACAGCCCCCAGCTTGGCTCCCCCAGAAACACCCAGCACTGTGTTTCGAGGTCACGGCTTGACTGTAGTAAAGATACAACCTCCTCTGGCGTCTGCTCAAGGGACGGGTGGGAGGCACCATGGGAAGCATGAGGCCGGGAGTCAGGCAGAGGGATCAGAGAGAGGGCCCGGCCGGCCGGCTCACCCTACCTCCTGCTTCCTCACCCAGGGATCCTGGGGTGCAGAGCCAGTTCAGGCCGCCCCCCACAGCCTCGACGGGCCTGGTGGAAACCTCCAAGTGGAGGCAACAGACACCCATGACTGCTCTCCCCGTCCCACGGAAAGGGCCCAGTGCGGCCCACTCACCTGCCTTCCGGAGCGTGGCTGAGGTGGCCGCTGTGCCCAGCGGGTTGCTCACGCTGCAGGTATACAGACCCAGGTCCTCGGCCGTCACCACCAGGATAGTCAGCAGCTGGAAGTTCTTGAGTGTGGAGGAGATGAGGAGGCGGCTGCTGCCCTCCAGGACGGCCCCATCTACAGCGGGACAGAGTGGGCCTAGGGAGCAGCCCCAAGTACCCACGGCCCTGTGCCCCTCCCCTGGGCCTCGGGTTCCCTCTGTACATTGAGAGCGGTGCCCTCCACAAGCACCCCCAGCCCAGGACGGCTCCTCACCTTTACTCCAGGTGGCCTGTGCAGCTGGCTGGGCCGACACCTGGCAGGCAAGAGTCACAGACTGGCCCAGGACCACCGTTTCGTCCACAAGCTCCCTTAGGAATGATGGTGCTGGGGAAGGGAGATGAGGTGAGCCTTCAGAAGTGACCCCCAGCCCAAGAGCGTGGGCTAGACCCCACAGTGGGGACAATGGAGATGAGCCCCACCCCAACCTAGTTCATCTTCAACACCACTGCCTCCCCCAGGAAGACCTCCAGGACAGCTCAGCCTCAATAGCTGGGGTGCCAGAGGCACCTGTCTGGGATGGGGCCCCCGTGGGTGTGAGCTTGCCCGCCCTGCTGGTCTGGACACTGAGGAGGGGCTCCCTCCCCTACAGCCAGGTCCCCTGGGTGATGCAGTCACCTCGGTCCCTGCTCTTCAGGCCTGACAGCCGGAAAGAAGCCAGGCCTGCCTTCTTCCGGGGAGGACTCTCCTTCTCGGGACCTGCAGGGAGGACAGGGCCATGAGAGGTCACACAAGGGGCTAGCCCCTCCAGCGGCCAGCAGCCTGGCACTGCCGCCAGGAGCATGGGAGCAACACTCCAGGGCCCTCCACAGCCTGCTGTCCAGATTGCCAGGTGGCAGAAAAGCCCAAATCCTGGGGGTTTTGTTGGAAACTGGAGCTAAGTCTGCAGTGAGGAGCACCCCTCCCTACCCCGTCAGATCAACTCGTTAGGCACGGACACCTGGGGCAAGTAAGGCTGGCAGCTCAGGGACCACAGGTGCCTCGGGAGGCCTGGCCAAGGGCTCTGGGTCAGGGAGGGCCCAGGGGTCAACCATCAGGGAGGGCTGGCGCAGTTCCCATCTCTGCAGGGGCAGGGGCAGGGGCAGGGTGGTAACCAGGCCTCCCTGTGTTAGGTCCCGAGGCTGGTCGCAGATGCACGTGGGGAGGGGTCTAGGCCCAGAAGGTGACCTTGGGAACAGAGGATCGTGTGTGCCAGGGCAGGGGGAGGGCGGTGGGGGGACTCCAAGGGGGATTCCTGCGTCAGGAGGGCTCCTGCGCAAGGGAGGGGCAAGGCGCCCCAAGGCACCTGGATGTGCCCAGACCTGGGGTGGGGGCGGAGGGGGTAGGGGGAGTCACCTTCAGGCCTGCCCCTCAGGAGGCGGGAGATGTGGGCCACCGAGGCCCTCACCCTCCGGCGCAGACCCAGCTCCACGGGCTCTTCCAGCCGCACATGCTTCCCGGGGAAGTGGAAGAAGCCCCTGGAGGGAGGTGACCACTTGCGCTTCCGGCTGCCAGCAGCCTCCCCCAGCAGGGCCTCCATGGTCTCTGGCTCCTCAGTAATCTCCAGGCTGGCTGACGGGCCCAGCGTGCCAGGCCAGGGCCACGCGGCCTCCGGGAACTCCGCCAGCTCCTCCCCAGCCTCAGACTCAGGGGAGGGCGGCCGCTCTGGCTTGGGGACCTTCCTGAAGATCATGAACTCGAATGGAAGATACTTGATGTCATACAGGTCGGACAGGTTGAGGTAGGCGGGCTCCACCTCCGAGATGTCCAGGGACACAGTGTCAGCGGCTTCCGAGTCCCCTGACAGGTCCCGGATCTGCACAAGTGACACTTGGGAGCCCCCACCCAAGTCGTCCCAGGAGGTGAGCTCCGGGGAGGCCCTCGGGGGAGCCTCGCTACCCTCAGGTGGGGGTGCTGCGCTGGCCCCCGCCTCATCCTGCTCCTCCGAGGACTGAGAGGTGGCCCAGGCCATCCTGGCCCATAGGGGGCCCTGCCCCAGCATGCCCCCTGCGTCCCCACCAAAGGCAAAGGTGCCATAGCCTGCCACACCCGCATAGCCCCCATGCTGCCCCAGGGAGAACTTTCGGGTGGTCGCCTGCTCCTGAGGCCGCGGTGGGCTGGGCTCAGAGTCAGAGAGGCCCTCTGCCTCCTGGTCCTCAGCATCCAGGGTGAGGCCAGGCTCGGAGCTCACTGGGGAGGCTGGCCCTACAGAGCCAGGGGAGCTGGGTCTCCCAGTGAGAGGGGTGTCCTCCAGCCCCCTTTTAGAGCCTGGCTGGGGGCTTGCTTGGGCTGGGGATGGGGGGCCCTGGGGTTCCCTCGAGAGGCAGGGGCTTCGGGGTGCGGAGAGGGCGTCTGGGCCCGGCCCTGGAGGGAAGGAGCCAGGAGTTTGCGGTACAACAGCTGGAGGGGGCTTGCAGCCCTCCTGGGGGGCAGGACTGCACTGGGGGTGAAAGAAAGGCTCCTGCTGCCCCCCACAGCTGTCCTGGGACAACCCCTCTTGCTGAACACCAGCCACTTCACCACTGGTAGACGGAAACAGTCTCAGTCCCTGTGGGGACCCCTCTGGATGCTCTGTCTCCCTGGATCCTGTGACCCCTTGGGGTGAACTCTCCCCTGGGGACACAGGGAGGACCGAGGCCGCGGGGGTGGGACACTGCCCCTTCAGGCAGGCCTCAGCAGAGGAACTAACGCCTTGCGGCAAGTCGAGGTCCAGGGAGCGGCTGCGGCCAGGCGCCCCTCTGGCGCTGGTGCCCGGCAGCCGCAGGGCGGTCTCGAAGGAGGGCACTTTGGCCATCAGCACGGCCTGCTCCTCCCGGGCCGCCGCCTCCTCCAGCGCGCGGTGCTCCAGCAGCGGCTCGCGCAGACCGGGCAGGGCGCTGGCGAAGTAGCCGCCCTTGAGCAGGTGCCGCCGCCGGGCCGGGTGCCGCCTGCCGCCCGCGGCCAGGGCCCCGCGCTCCGCGCCCTCGCCCGCCTGCTGGTAGAACAGGCTGCGGATGACGCTCTGCCGGGGCACGCAGCCCGAGGCGGCGGGCGGCTCGGCGCCCCGGGGCGTGGGGGCGGGGGGCGCGGCCGCGGCGGGCGGGCTGGTTTCGGCCTCCTCGGGTAGGCTGGCCGACGGCCGCAGGAAGCCCCGGGGGTGCAGCAGCGGGGAGTGGGTCACCGGGGAGGGCGGCAGCGACTTGGCCCGGGCGAAGGGCGCCAACTCGTTGTCCGAGGAGGAGGAAGAGCTGCTGGAGGAGGCGCTGGCGTCGCCGCGCAGGTGCCGGGCCACCCCGAGGGACGGGCTGTCCGGCGGGCCCTGCAGCAGCTCGGGGATGGAGCGCATCACCAGGATGGACTTGTAGCTCATCAGGGAGCGCTGGGGGTGCGGGGAACAGGGCGTCAGCCGCTGCCGCCGCCCTCGCGGCTCCAGGGGCCCAGACGGGCGACTACGGAGGCGGGGTCGGGGACGGGGTCACAAGCCCCGCCCTCCCCAGGGCACCGCCTTTCTGTGCGCTCGCCCCTGCGACTCGCCTGGCGCACGCAGTTCGTCCCTCCCGACGGCTCAGCGAGAGCCCAACCCGCGCAAAGCACGCCCAGCCCGGCTTCCCGCTCTCCCGGGCCCGCGGGGCGCGGGGCCAACCCTCGGGGTCTCCAGCCCCTCCTCCCTAGCACCAGCTCAGCGCAGCTCGGCTCACCTGCCACCGGCTGCGGGCCAGGAGGAACTTCAGCTGCTTGGTGTTGATGAAGTGGGCCTCCTCGGCCGGCACGGACTTCTGGGGGGCCCAGGGGAAAAGCCACGTCGAGGGGAGAGCCGGATGCGCCCTTTGGCCCAGACAGATCCCCCGCCCCCCTTGGCCTCAGTTTCCCTCCCTGTGCGCCAGGCCTGCCCCAGGCGCAGCCTACTCACCAGGAACCAGGGGTGGGCCAGGCACTTGGTGGCACTGGGGCGAGCCCTGCAGGGAGAGGAAGGCCGGGGTCAGGCCAGGGGTCACCTGGTCCCCGGGCAGGCGATGAGGACCCCGGGCAGGCGAAGGGAGTCTGCACTCACTCTGGGGCCCTCTGCAGGGCAGCCTTGATAAAGTCCTGGGCATCCTGGCTGAGGTGGGCAGCCACTGGGCTGCTCCAGGACACCCGCCCCTCCAGCACATTCAGGAGGGTGGCTCGGTCACTCTCGCCAGCAAATGGAGATGAGCAAGTGAGGCTGAAAGCACAGACGTGGGTCACCTTCAGACGTGGCCCCATATTTCTGGGTCCATGGGGGCAGGTCACCAGGACAGGCAGTGCTGGGTCTCATAGGGATGGTGGTCTGACTAGGGATGACCTTAGCATTACTCCCATCCGGCCCTGAGAATCCTAGCAAGTGTTTCAGATTTGCCTAGAGATCCAGGCTCAGGCTTGGGTGAGGATCTGGGCTTGACCTGGGATAGAAGTCAAGGGTCAGCCTAGGGTGCCCACCTGCCTTAGCCTGAGGTGGGATCCAGGCTCAGCCTGGGACAGGGACCGAGGGTCAGTGTGGAGTAGGAACCCAGCCTTAGCCTGAGGTGGGATCCAGGCTCAGCCTGTAGAGGAGATCCAAGCTCAGTCTACAGCAGCAGAGTCCTCAGGGCAGCAGTGCCTGTTAGGAGGGGGCTCTGGACAAACCATCCAGACCCTTTAGGGAAACGGCTCAGTGCTCTGCCTCGTGCTGCCACAGAGCTCCTCTGGGACAGGGTGTGTGTGAAAAGCACTGCAGAAACCTCTTATCAGAGTTGGCCCACTGCCTGTCCCCAGAATAGCTGCCCCTTGGGTCTCAGGTCTCTGATCTGGGGAGTGGCCAGCAGTGCGCGTGGCCTCCTGTGGGCCTGCTGGGGAGGGGTCTGGGGTTGGCTTCAGACGATGCGGCTGACAGGGGCAGGGGTCTGCTCACCTGAGGTAGGAGATGACCCCCATGGCCCTGCGGGAACAAAACCACAGCCGTGAGTCACCCCAGGCCCGGCCCGCAGGCGGGGGGTGAGCAGGGTGGGCCCGAGAACTGAGGGAGGAGAGGGAGTGGGAGACAGTGCGGGGGCCGCGTCCCTGGGACCCACACACTCACCAGATGTCAGAGGCCTTGCTCACGGGGGTTTGCTGGATGATCTCGGGCGACACGAACTCAGGGCAGCCATACTTGCTGTACTGCGGCTCTGCTGGGGTGATTTTTTGGGCAAAGCCAAAGTCGCAGATTTTAATGTCTTCCCGGGCAGGATGCACCATCAGGATGTTGGGGGGCTGTCGGGAAGAGTCGGGGAGTGGATGAGGCCAAGCACTAAGGAGGTGACTCCCAGGGCTGCCGGTGGAGGGGGGGCACTCAGGGGTCTGTCCCACGCTGATGGTGAGCCCAGTGTGGAGCAGTGGGCAGCCCCAGGGGCAAGTTTCAGTGCCATTTGGAGGTGATCTCTGCTCCATCAGAACCACACCCCACCTGAAGGGGCTTCTAGGATAGTGAGCTCCCTGTCCCCAGAGGTAAGCAAGCCCTAACAGGGAGGCTGGAAGTCGTGGTCTGTGCCTTCTCAGCCTGCAGGCCCTAGGGTCCCACCTGCCCCTCCCCAGGCTCTGGGGGCATGGGGGCAAGTACCTTTATGTCTAGGTGGAGGATGCCCTGGCTGTGCAGGTACTGCAGCCCTTCCACCAGCTGCTGGATGTAGACCTTGACCTGCAGCAAAGGCTGGTGCTCAGGTGAGAGAGCCAGCCTGGACCTCCCGCTCCGCTCCCCTCCCCACCCCGCTGCCACTACACCGCCTCTCCTTCCCTCCAGATCTGAGCCTGGGACGGTCCCAAGGGGCAGGTTAGTGCAAAGCCTCCCAAGCCCCCATGTCCCCCAAGGCCAGGGAGTCCTCTGGGCCCCAAGGTGGGGGCCGGCATGGGTGTATGGAGCTGCCTAAGCACAGCAGGAAGGGTGGCGTCTCAGGAGTGGGTCGTGGCTGGCCCGCTGGCCAGGGCCGTCTGGGAGGGGGCAGTGGTGAGCCTGGCCACCGGGAAGGGTTTTGAGAGCCAGACAGGAGCTGCCACACCTGGTGAGGCCCTGGGGAGCCCCAGAAGGTCTCTGAGCTGGGGAGCATCTGGTGGGGGGAGGGGTTCTGCAGGGACATGTGGTCTGGGCAGGGGGCAGCGGGAGGCCTGTGGCTCCAGTGGCAAGGTCACCTCGGCCTCCGTCACCACACTCTTCTTGAACAGGCGGTCCAGCAGCTCCTCAGCCGAGCACCTGGGGCTCCGGTCAAGGAAAGCTCTGGGGTCTGGAACCAGCCGGCCCCACACACGGGGGGTGAGTCTTATCTCGGGATGGGGGTGGGGGACCATGCTGGGGAGGGTGGGAGAGACAGGGACCCGGAGGAGAAGGGCTGAGGCCAGTGGGCTGCGGCAGAATGGGAACAGAGCCGTCTTCTCCTCTCTGCACAGCGCCCACCTCCCACACCCCCTCCTGGCTGGGGATGCTGACTGGGGAGGTGGGGTGTGGCGAGCACATGACACCCAGAGCGCCTCAGCTGGGCGTGACCCAGAGTGGATGGGGTAGGGCATGTGCCCCTTGCTGGAGCCCGGGTGGGCAGCCTGGGAAGCCCTAGCACTTGGGGCCAGGAGCAGCCACTAAAAAGTCCGACCTCCCTGCTGGAGAGAGCAGGGAGAGCACACTAGGGGCCTGCCGAGACATGTCTGGGACTGCCTGGAAGAGGCCCTGCCCAAATTCCTGGCCCGAGGGAGGATGAACTAGAAGGAGGAGGACGGCGCCGTGTCCGGGGTAGTCAGACAGGCAGCGTCATAACGGAACGTGGGAAGCCAGGCCCGGGGACACCAGAACCGCAGGCCCCACGCGGCCCTCTGGACCCCTGCCCGCCCGGGGCACACGCCCCTCCTCGCACCCTGGCGCCCAGGGCGGGATACAGCTCCAGGACAAGGATCAGGGTCTTGCGCGTCTCAAACTGGTCCAGCAGCGCCGTGACCAGAGGGTGGCTCAGCATGGCCAGGACGTCCCGCTCGCGGTACGCCTGGGCTCGCGTCCTGCTCCGCAGGGGGATGAACTTGGCAGCGAATGACATCTGGTTGCCCTTGTGCTGCACCCTCTTCACGAAGCCAAACACGCCCCTGGGAGGACGGGAGCCCATGCTGGACGCCCACGCTGGACGCGCTGGGGCGGGGCTCCCGGGGGTGGGGATTCCGGGAGTAAGAGGGTACTCTGGAGAAAGGGCGCTACTGGGCGTCGCGGCTCTAGAGGGACCCGGGCCCCGGGGTATCGGTACCCAGATACTGGGTCCGGTGGGGGGTTCCTGGCAGACGGGATTTCCGGGGAGGCAGGAGCTTGGGGGTCGGGGTTCTGGGAGTTGGGTCCCCAGAGGCGGGGGATCTGCGTGGCGGGGGAACTGGGGGCTGCCGGGTCGGGGACTCCAAAGCGGGGACTCCAGGGGGCGAGGGTTAGGAGTGCAGAGCTGGGGGGCTCCTAGGGCGGGATTGGGGGTGATACCTTCCGATCTCCTCCTTGACCTCGTAGAAGGAGTGCAGTCTCCTCCGGGAGCTTCGCTTCTCTGAGTCCGGCTCAGCCCCTGTGGTCAGGAAGGGGGAAGCCGACAGCATAGGCCGGTGTGACCACCCGGTACCTCTATCCCCAACTCTAGTGTCCGCGGGGGCAGCTGCCTGTGCCTGTGCCCTTGGGGGCCGTGGGATCCCCAAGCCCGCGTCGAATTGAGACAGGGCCTGGGAGGGGTCCCGGACTTACCCCCATGGACCAGCAACTCCGCCTTGCACAGAACCTGGCCGCCAGCATTTCGGGCCAGGCAGGTGTAGACACCGGCGTCCTGCTGGGCCACGTCCCTCAGCACCAGGGAATATGTAGTCCCTTCCTGCTGCTGGCTGAGCCGGGTGTCGTCTGCCAGCTGGGTGCTGTCCTGGAGGTATGGGGTGCAGTGGCCATCAGCCCAACCTGGGGGCCCAGGCACCGTGGCCCACCCAGTGCTTCAGTGAGTACGTGTCCCATGGGGGTTTCACACTCCCTCCTCTGGCACAGGGCCCCCACCCCCCGCCAGTCCCTACCTTGTACCAGGTCACCGTGGGCTGTGGGCTGCCCTCGATGACCGCCTGAAACTGCGCGGTGCCGCCTCTCTGTGCCTGCACGTCCTCGATGGTTACCTGCATGGACGGGGGCCCTGGGGGTGCAGGAGGGAGCAGTGGGGAGGGGCCGGGTCGCACGCCCCTGGCCAGCCCACCTCAGCCAGCCTGCGGTCACGATCACTGAGACCTGAGTGGGCAGGCATCGCCCCTGGCTGTCCTGGTGCCCTGAGGGGGCAGCGAGACCTGAGATACCCCACCTGCCTCCCAAGTGAAGGCGACCCCTCCTCACTCAACCCAGGCCCCTGGCAGTCGGGAAGTGCTTCTTTCCATCCAACCACTGTCTCTCCTGCTCCGACCTTGATCTCCGTGGACAGCGCACCAGAGATGCTAACTGGGCTGGGAAGGGCCCCGGACGTCCAGTTCCTGCTGCCCCCTCCCCTCCGAGTGGTGCCCACTGCGGGGACACACAGACAGGGCAGTGGGCTCCCAGCCAAGCAGGGCTCAGAGGTGCAGCGTGGCCTCAAAGGCCCCACCCTGCAAATGTCCTCCCAGCCCAGGGGCATGCGTAACCCACTGGGCCCCTGCCTACTTGTGGCACCGGCGTCGCTGGTCTGATACACGTATGTCCGGTGCGTGGTCTCCGTGAACACGTGACTGTGGACATCCCAGAGCTCTGCGGCGCCTGCCCCAGGCCAGACTGTGCCCTCCATCCTGGGGTGGTTGGGGCAGGGTGAGCTGTCGGCCCGCCCCTCCATTTCTGATAAGTTGGGGTCCCTGACCACTTTGGAAGGGATGTACAGACTGGGCCCCAGCCCTGGGGGAGGAGGGGTTCCTCCCACACCCATCACCCTGAGGGCAGCCTCTCCTCACTGCCCTGCCCTTGGGCTCAGGGTGGGGCTGACAAGGAACGTCCTGGGGTGCCAGGACCCCTTACTCTTGCTGTCCCCGTGGGCAGAACTGGTGGGCTCTGCCCTGCCCCCGGGATGTCCCCTCATGGGCTACCCCCACCTAACACGCCAGGGAGGTTACCGGATGGGCACAATGCGTTCCTGGGCTGCACCATGGGCCCCTGAGTCCTGCTCCAGGCCCGCGTCAGGGAGGGGCTCCGGCACCTTCAGAGGGGGCTCGGCTAGTGGGAGGCAAGAGACTTAAGTGACACACAAACTTAAGGGGGTGAGGTTGGGGGCTGTGCCCCACGATGTGCCCCGTGTCACCTTCCAGGGCCCAGAGGGTGGGCACACAGGCAGAGCAGGGGCGCAGGGTCTATGCCCCGAAACTGCGGGACTCCAGCTGCACATGCGTACCTCGGCCCCCTCGACCTCCCTGCAGAGCCCAGAAGCCCCGGCACCTTCCTGTCCTAGTGCCTAGGCCAGGAGCACCAGCCCTGAGGCTCCCCACTGCCGGGCTGGCCACAAGGCCCCCGCCATCCCTACAATGAGGTGCAGGAGCCTCGCAGCATCTCTGGGTCTCATCTCTCTGGAGCAAAACTCTATACCTCTGCCTCCTGCTCCCCTCCTACTCTCCTCCTCCTGGTCCTTTTCCTCCTCCCCTCCTCCCCCTCTTCCCTCCTCCTCATCCCCCGCCCTCCCCTCCTCCCCCTCTTCCCTCCTCCTCATCCCCCGCCCTCTCCTCCTCCCCCTCTTGCTCTCCTCTTTCTCCTTCTCATCCTCCTCCTCCATCTCCTCTTCCTCCTCCTCCTCTCTTCTTTCCTCCCTCTCCTTTCCCTCCTTCCCCTTCTGATTTTCCTCCCCCTTCCCCCCGACCTCCCCAGGAGCACAGGGTGCCCAGACTGTCTGCTGAGGGCTGACCACAGGAGGCCTCTGGCTCCCAGGACAGATGTGCTGAGGCTAAGAACCTCCCAGAACCCACTCCTTTGTCTAGTTTCACAGATGGGGAGACTGAGTATGAGCAAGGAGTGGGCCTTGCCCAGGGTCCCCAGTGCATGGAGCCATCGGGATGCTGGGGTCCCGAGGGCTCTGCCAGTTTACCCCCACGGGAAGGACGCCCAGGGTGACCAAGACTGCGGTCAGCACCGGTGGGTGGTCTGGGAGCAGAGGGCACTTTGCAGTCAGCCCGCCACTGGGCCTCACCAGATGTGTCTGCAGCCTCCATGCCTGGGGGTGGGGGGCCAGCCTCCTGGAGCTCCGGTGGCCCCCCAGGGCCAGGGCCTGGACCAGCATGGTCCCCTGCAGAGGGTCCCACAGCCTCGGGGCACACCAGTAGTCCCTGGACAGATGTGATCTCCTGGTCTGCCTGTTCCAGGGCAGCTGGGGGTGGGACAGCAGCATCTGTGGGAGAGGTGGGTCAGAGTGTAGGGGTGACCTGGGCCTGGGGAGGGGGTCAACTCTATCCCAGTCCTCAGAGACTGCCCAGGTGAGCTGCTCTGGGCTACCGCTCCCACCCACCGCCCCGCCCACCCACTCAGCTCTGGAGGTGCCAGAGGTGGAAGTCCTGAGAGAGGAGGGGACGCAGGCATGGTGCCAGGGAGGGAAAACTGGAGGCAGTGAGCTCAGGACCCAGTCACCTCCAGGCGGGCGCCCAGATGCCTTTGGGAGAACACTGTCTCCTCGAGGGGCAGCTGGGCCTGGACACCCGCCCTCCGCCAGGGTCTGCCCTGTCTCAGCTCCTTCTATCCCTTCATCCTAGGGCTGCCCCCTCCCCCCAGCCCACCCCAGACCCCAGGGTACTGGGCTGCCCAGGCCCAGTGGCCCCAGCTCCACACTCTAGGGAAGCCTGGCAACAGCCTGATGCAGAGTCAGGGGCCAGGGGATTGGAGCGGGGTGGACCCCCTTCCTGCCCTGCCAGAGCAACCCCTGTCCCCGCCCAGCAGCTTTCTCCCCACCACCTCCACAGCCCAGGCCAGCACGCCCTCACCTGGCCCCTGCCCTGCCTCCCACATGGCCCACTGTGGGAAGCATCAGACCCTCTGTGTCTCGGCTCCCAGTCTTCAGCACCCCAGTGTAGCCCCCTCCTCCGCCTGGCTGCCAGGCCTCTGTGGCCCAACCATGTCCTCCCCTCCTAGCAGGTCCCCTGCCTGAGCCCCACCCCTCCCTGAGCCTCCCCTCCCAGCAGGTTCCCTGCCTGAGCCTCCCCTGCCTGAGCCTCCCCTGCCTCAGGACCTCCCCTGCCTGAGCCTCCCCTGCCTCAGGGCCTCCCTGCCTGAGCCTCCCCTGCCCCAGGGCCTCCCCTGCCTGAGCCTCCCCTGCCTCAGGACCTCCCCTTCCTGAACCTCCCCTGCCTGAACCTCCCCTCCCTGAGCCTCCCCTGCCCCAGGGCCTCCCCTTCCTGAACCTCCCCTTCCTGAGCCTCCCCTGCCCCAGGACCTCCTGTGCCTGAGCCTCCCCTGCCTGAGCCTCCCCTGCCCCAGGGCCTCCCCTGCCCCAGGGCCTCCCCTGCCTGAACCTCCCATGCCTGAGCCTCCCCTTCCTGAACCTCCCCTGCCTGAGCCTCCCCTGCCTGAACCTCCCCTGCCTGAGCCTCTCTGCCCCAGGACCTCCCTCTTCTGTCCTCAGGCCCCTAGGCTAGAGAAGAAACCCCCTGGGCTGTGGTCTGTTTGCCCTCTCTGGCACTGGGGCTACCATTCTCTGGCATTGGGACTCCCATTCTCTCCTTCCCTACTCCAAGGAGGTCAGCAGGATCCCCAATGCATCACAACCCCCCACATCTTACCTGACAATGGCCCTGCTACACAGGGGGGACAGGAATGCCTGCTCAGTCCCCAGCAGGCTGGCAGCAACCACTGTAAACTGCCTTGGTCCCACCATGTGTACCTGCGACCACCCCACAGCCTGCGTGCCAGCAAGCTGGACCAGTGAGCAGTCACACCTCCACCCAAGGACCCTAAGATGGGCCAGGACCTGCGGGCTGCTGCTGGGTGCCACCAAGGGTTGCCCATGGAGGAGGCCTGGACTGCCCAGTGGTGCATCCCCAGGGCCAGGCCTGGAGGGCTCTCCTGCCTGAGTTGCCAGAGCCACCGGGCAGAGAAGCAAGAAAGCAGGACAAAGGCAGTGCAGGGAACCAGTTTATTATCATCCGGACCGACCGACGGGCTGCTTCCCACACACAGACCCTGCCCACCCAGGAGGGTCTGCAGAGCTGGGCCCCACCCAGGCCTCCAGGAAGCCAAGAACAATGTTCATGGGTAAGATGTGGCCGGGGGAAAGCCCCCCACCAAGAGGGAGAGCAGGCCCCAGCCTGGGAGAGGGCAGGGCTGTGCTGGCCTGGCCACTGGGACTGGGGTGGGAGCTGGGGCAGCTGCCACCTTGGGAATGGAGCAGGACCGATGCCCAAGTCTCGCTCCGTGTCCAGAGCCCGGAGGCTCTGAGGGTGGCTCAGGCCGGCGCTCTCGGAGTGACTTTGGTACTTGCGAGATTACCGATGCATGAAGGTCCACAGGGCAAGACCCAGTCCCGTGAGGTAGGAAGTGCCCGGGGCAGGGAGGGAGGGCAGCTGAAGCCCCGAGCTGTCAGAGAGCCAGGGGTCAAGAGCACACGGATGCGAGGGGCGCGGGCTTCCCGTGCAACCACACAGCTGCGTCAAGGGTGTCCTGGCCCAGCGAGCCCCTCGTCTAAACCTGGGGCCACAGAGCCCATGATGTTCAGGGCCTCAGCCCTGGGAGGGGCCGGAGGCCTCATCCCCATCTGGGTGGATGTGCAGGGTGACTGTCTCGCCCACAGTCCCGAAGCTGACCGTCTGGGTAGAAACCTCCGTTTTGAAGCTGCTCTGCCCACGGTCCGCAGACCGCTGGACCTGGGTGAAGAAGGATGGCTTCCAGGATGCAGCGTCCCCAGCCCGGGCCTCCTGCACGCAGAAGGAGACGCCTGCAGGGCCAAGCTCCTGTGACCCCGATGAAGACACGTCCCGGGGCCCGACCCTGTGGCTGAGCAAACCAAGTGGGCCTCGGGGGCGCGGGGGGCGCCCCACATTGAGCAGGACGGGCCGCCCCACGGTCGGCTCGTTGATCTCTCTCTGGAGCACCGCGACCTCACAGGGTGGGTCGTCAGAGGCGCTGGGCACCGGGCCGCCACAGCCGAAGGTCTCCCCTTCCTTGGGCACGTAATCCTCCAGGTCGGCCAGCGTCAGCACGCGGCCGTCGTGTGCCAGGATCTTGGGGTCACGGCCCCGAAGGTCCTCAGTGTCCTGGGGCTCCTCCATCAGGCTAGCACTTCCCCCTTCCTCCTCCTCCAGGGGGCCCTCCTCTCCATCCGCCCGGGGAGGGGACAGCTCAGGGGTCTCCAGCTCGGCATCCACGTGGAAGACCAGGGGCTCCCCAACATGGACTGTGGTCCTGCCCTGGGCTGGGGGCTCCTCAGGCAGCAGCTTGTTGTTGGAGTTGTTTGTGTTGGGGTCCCCTCCGGGGGTCCTGCCAGGCAGTGTGAAGAGAAGCCGTGCGGAGCTGCCGGGCACCTCTCTGGCGGGAGACGCACCCCTTCGGCCCGTCTTCTTTACTTGGACCTCGATGGTCTCCTCGACCTCCACCCACTGGGGCTGGGGCCCAGCGGCCCTGGGGGCGGCTGGCGTGTGGGCCTCGGGCTCCGTCACATACAGCGTGGGCACAGTGGGCCTCCAGCCTGGCCCCGCCTCGGGCCTGCGGGGCTGCCCGGCCCCCGGCGAGCGCAGCGGCTCAGGGGCCAAGAGGCCTGGCCTGGGCGGGCTGGCAGGGCGGCGGGAAGGCGAGCGGGAGGGGGACCTGCTGGGCGACCGGCGTGGGCCGCGGGGGCTCTTCACCACGGTGGTGATGGTCTCCTCTCTGTGGGGAGAGGGCCGAGAGGAGGTGGGCACGGGGCCCACAGCCTCGCCCGGCGCCCGCGCCACCAGCACATGCGGGGCCAGTGCGAGGGGCGGGTTAGTGCACAAGCAAACAGCAAGGCTGCGGGAGGACACTCCTGTGTGCGTGAAGTCGGCCTGCACGGCCGCAGCCAGAGAACCAGGGAGCACGGCATGAGCCCGCCTGCCAGCCTCGGCTCGGGCACGGGCCTCAAGACAAGAGGTGAGGTGTCAGGGGGCCACACGCACCACACAGGACCCCAGCCCAGGCCAAACCTGGTCTGCAGTGTCCCTGGGTACCAGTCCCCCTTCCTCCCATCTTGGAGACACAGCCCTCTCACAGAGCTGACAGGCGGGGTGCAGGGACGTGGCTACCTGGCCCTCCTTGTCCATCCCTCCAGTGCTTTGTGCTTTGTGTCATGAGTGGGGGGGCCCCAGCAAGCTCTGGTGGGGAGGCAGCATCTCAGCGGTCCTCAGTTAGGGACAGGATGGATAGACGAGGCCGCGGGTTCAGGTACAGGAGGGTGGTCAGAGCCCCGGCCTGCAGCCTGTGCTCCTGGCCCCTCCATCTGGGGGTGTGAGGCCTGACAAGGATGCCTGGCTCTGGCGTGGCTTGGCCGTCACGGGCCGTGTGAGCTCTGACAAGCCCTTCCCCTTCCTGGGCCTGTCTCCCAAAATGGGAGGCGAGGAAGGGGATGAGGAGGCAGAACTCAAGGCCTGGGGCACATGGGTGAGCACTGGGCGCTGGCTGGGGACTCGCAGCAACCCTGGGGATGGGGCTGACCCCCTTTTACAGGTGTGGACAATGAGGCTGAAAAAGGCACAAAACTCGCTGAGGGTGAAGTGAGTGACAGACAGGGAGCAGGAGCACACTGAGTCACAGACAGCTCCCCGGGGCCCTGGGACTGCGTTTCCTCTCGGGCTCAGGCAGAGGGACCTGGCATGTGTGTGGTGACAACTTGGTGCAGTCACCAGCTGCCCACCGTGACTAAGGTGTTGTCTCTCTCATTCAGCTTTGCTACTGTCTGACTCAGGGCTCCTCAAGGAGCAGCTACTCCCAGGAATGGCCACGCCTTGGGGTGCACAGCAGTTATAGATCCTGCCTCCCCTGGCTTCCCTTGGTAAAGGGGAAACATTATACCCCATTTAGCTGATGGGAAAGCTGAGGCTTGGAAACATGGCCTGCTTAAGACGACAGGCCTGCCTTCCTGCTCACACCCAGGGTCAGGGGCACTAGGCTTGCCCCTGGGTCGGAGCCTGCCCATCACTGGAACCTGTGCCAGTCCCCACCTGCTGGCCTCATGCTGCCCAATTTGCCGAGGCAAGATGGCGAGTTGAGTGGAACGGGGCAGCTAGATCACTCTCCTAAATGCCTCCCCTTGCTGGGCTCACTGCTTCCCCCGGGAGGGCATGCAGGCATCCTGCTCTGAGGCCACTGGCACCGCACATGGGGCTGCCATGTGGCAGGGGTCTCCCTCCAGGCCATTTCCTTCTAACACCCCTGCTCCCCAGAGCCTTTCAC